TTTCCCCCCAACAGAACAGCAAAAATGACAAAGCTACAAAGCTTTCCAGGTTGAGTTATTTACTTGTTAATCCTGTTCTATAGTCCCATGATATCCCAGCACAGCACATGCACACACCAGTGTCCAACTTTCATCACTGCCTGCTTTTGACTCAAGGACTGGGATGCCTCACCATCCAACTACTCCTTCCCTGTCTTGCTGTTCCACTCTACAGATGAACAAATTCTTCCTTGTTGGCACTCACAATGCTAAAGTCCAGGCTGTTACATGGCTCGGGTTGAGGAGAAGCCACCAGTGAGAAGCAGCCCTGTATCCAACTGTCCTGCAGAGATACCTGAGGTGCCTTAAAGGAGGTTTCTTGGCTCAGGCTCATAGCTTTGTATCAGATTGGCTAGGCTGCAGCCAGCAGTTTTGGATTAGGATGTGCCTGTCCCTTGGGAGAGACCCAGGCTCAATCCCTTCTCTACCATACCCTTCACTGCTCATGCAAAGTCATTTCCACAGGAAAGGCACCTTTTTACCCAGTGATTACTGGGCACACCTTGCAACAGCGATCTCTGTGATAAATGTGGGGATAGCAGAAAGTCTCCGCCTATCAGTGCAGCTCCAAGGAACAGGTCCTATAGGTACATATGTTCTTCCCTGTTCTACAATATTTGCACCTTCACTGCTGAAAATCTGGGAGAGAGATCGCAGCTGGGATCTGAAGTGGTGTCTTATGCCAAGATCCCAGCTTAGCTGATGTATTACACAAAATCAAAACTGATATGTGACCAAAAGCATGTCTTTGTGGTGTTGTGACACCTGCACACATCTGCGTAAGGAATAGAGGAAGCACAAAACCCCCTTTTTCCTCTTAAAAAAAAAATTATCGGAACCCATATTGCAGCAGACAAGACAGCTCAAGCAGACCTAATGAAATACAAGAATTAATGCATTTCTGGCTGTTCTGTAATTATCACTGGCTGCAAAATGATGGTGCTAACAGTTCAGTGACTGCCTGAGCACACTGGGATCTCATCTACTGTTTGGTAAGAGGCAGGACAGAGACCTTTATCATTTACACTGGCTTAATATATACAAAATAAAAAATTAAAATAAAATTAAAATAAAATTAAAAAAAAAAAAACATTAAGCTGTGGCAGATGAAGCACAGGCAGAGGAAATAAGGAGAGAAGCAGGTTACAGGTTGATAAAATTCTCAGCAGTACTTTCCTTCATTCAATGATTTTGACTGTTTCTTTGCTATTGTTTTCCTTCCAAGCCACCAGTAACATCCCCGAGTTGCTTTTGCCCCTAAAGCACACAATTTGCAGGGACTTCAGAGAATGAGAGAGTCAGAGACTGGAAGAAATGGGCAGCTCCACTTTGTCCCCTGGGTGACAGAACAGCTATTTTTACCTCCACATTTCCCACATAAATTAAAATACTTCTGCCTTAAATCTAGATTCAGCTCCCAATTCAAATACGCAAATACAGCTTTCTGCAACACAGGAATGTTTTCAGCTGTTCACTTTTTCATCATCTAGCATCCCTGAGTTATTCTGGTGTATCCTGGAGGACATCCAGGCTCCTCTGCAGTGGACATGAGTCTCACTTACGATGTGTGGCATAAACCCAAGCCTTTTCACCCTCAATAGCAAAGGACACCTCTGTTTAGGCAACCAAATGAAGCTCTTCCACAGGTCAGAGGTGTCCAGACAGCAACTCAGTTCACCCCACACCAGACATCTATGTTCATTTGGCTGAGCTGCTCTTCACAGAGAGGGACAGAAAGTCACATCTCAGCACATATATATTTTTTTCACTTTTTTTTCCACTTTTGCCACTAATTTGCTAAAGTAGCACCTCCTTAAAAATGAGTCAAAAAGGAAGCACAGGATGACTCATGTCCTGAACATCATCAGAAATTAATAGCCTTTGCTGTGGTGACTACCAGCCTCCCAGCTAGAGGAAATCTGTGGCTGTGTTTTCCATCACTATCAGCAGCTGGTGAGAGCCCAGTGGAAGGCAGAGCAGATCTACGTGCCTTAGCTAGGACAGTGGTCAGCACTGACCTTCTGAAGTAGACTGACCTTGAGACTGGAAATGTCTTCATGTTATGTCACTGTCAAGAGCCTTTCAAGAAGATACGTGTAAAAATGAGTCATTGAAATGTTTTCTGCAGTCACTAAGAAACTTCTAGATGCAAATTCTTAATCCTTCTGCTACTCTCATTAAGATGGACCAGATGACACTGCAGCTCTCTTCCCATTTACCAGCCTTGCCAGCAAGGCAAAAGCTCAAGATTTATATTCCTTTGAGAACTGCCTTTGGTTTCAGTGTAGGTGAGGGCATTCACTTTCTCTTTGAGGATCTAATGAGTYAAAAATTCAAAGTAAAGCTCTGTTTGAAATCTTCCTTTAACTCCATGAAAATTTTGCAGAAGTTTATTTGAAACTCCAAAAACCTCTGAAATTTCTTCAGAAGATCATCCAGTCACAGCGGATCTCTTATTGGAGTTAAGTTGGAGGAAAACTATGAACTAATAATATTCAGCACATATGTACAGAGAGATATGTCTTAGGGGAATGGTGCTTGAGCTGCTACTGAGTCCCTACAGACCTAGACTGATTTCCCAGTTCTGCTCTGCATATCTCCTGTGGCTTACTAGGCTTTGGCTTTTCCTTCTCTGCAAGGAAATAGTCCCTCTTGGCTATTCAGAGCAAAGGCTCTCTTGGAAGGAGATTCAGCTCAACTAATTAGTTCTTCATATTTAAAGTTCACTGAAAGTTAGCTAGCTGCACCCAAAATAACCATCTAGACTTCCTCTATTTTCAGTAGAAAGAAACTAAAAGCATGATTCATCCCATTCTTAGACAGACACCTTGGTTGTTCACTGAACTTCTCACTTCTCACTCTTTTCACTGTCTAGAATGGTAGGTGAGTCTTGTCCTGTGTGTATACGTGTATTACCTT